TCACGACCCAAAGCTCGTGCCCATAGGTGAGGGTTGGGACGTAGATGGAATGGTAAATCGAGAGCTTCGCCTTGCGGCTCAGTTCTCTCTCCACCACGACGGTCCGGTACAGCGCCCGCATTACTGCTGACGCCGCACCGAGCCACCTGTCCATCTCACGCTCCATTTTCCCATCACTCGTGAACAAGATCCCGAGATACTTGAACTCCCTCGCTTGAGGAAGCGACTCCCCCCCCACCCGGAGGTGACAGTCCACCGGTTTCTGGCAGAGAATCATGGCCTCAAACTTGGAGGTACTGATCCGCATCCCTGCCGCTTCGCATTCAGCTGCAAACCGCTCCAGTGAGTGCTGGAGGTCACGGTCTGATGGAGCAAACAGTACCACGTCGTCTGCAAAAAGCAGCGACGAGATCCTGAGGTCCCCAAACCGGACACCCTCCTCTCCCTGACTGTGCCTTGAGATCCTGTCCATGAAAACCACAAACAGGGTCGGTGACAAGGGGCAGTCCTGGCGGAGTCCAACACCCACTGGGAACATGTCCCACTTATTGCCGAGTATGCGGACACAGCTCGCACTTTGCTTGTACAGGGACCGTATGGCTCGTAGCAGCGAGCCCGGTACCCCATACTCCCTCAGTACCCCCCACAGAGTTCCTCGGGGGACACGGTCATAGGCCTTCTCCAGATCCACAAAGCACATGTGGACTGGCAGGTCGAACTCCCATGCCCCCCTCAGCAGCTCTGCGAGGGTAAAGAACTAGTCCACTGTTCCACGACCAGGACGGAATCCGCATTGCTCCTCCTGAATCCGAGGTTCGACAATCGGCCGAAGCCTCCTTTCTAGCACCCTAGAGCAAACTTTCCCGGGGAGGCTGAGAAGTGTGATACCTCGATAATTGGCACACACTCTCCAGTCCCCCTTTTTAAAAATGGGAACCACCACCCCGGTTTGCCACTCCACAGGCACTGTACCCGATGTCCACGTGACATTGAAGAGACGTGTCAGCCATGACAGTCCAACAATGTCCAGAGCCTTCAGCATCTCAGGGCGAATCTTGTCCACACCCGGCACTTTTCCACTGGGGAGCTTCTTAACTACCTCGGTGACTTCTACCACGGATATGGACGCAGAAGCCCCCGAGTCTTCAGGCTCTGCCCCTTCATCAGAGGACATGTTTGCCAGGTTCAGGAGTTCCTCGAAGTGCTCCTTCCACCGCTCGACGAGGTCCCCAGTCTGGGTCAGCAGTTCTCCTCCCCGACTGTACACAACCTGGAGACTGCTTCTGCAATGGAGGCTTTGAACATGGACCACTCTGACTCCACGTCCCCAACCTCCCCCGGGATGCAGGAAAAACTCTTCCGGAGGTGGGAATTGAAAATCCCACGGACAGGGGCCTCTGCCAGACGTTCCCAGTTCACCCGCACTACGCGTTTGGGTTTACCAGGTCTGTCCGGCAGCCTTCCCCGTCATCGGATCCAACTCACCACCAGGTGGTGATCAGTTGACAGCTCTGCTCCTCTCTTTACCCAAGTGTCCAAAACATACGGCCGCAGATCTGGTGACACGACTACAAAGTCAATCATCGATCTTTGGCCTAAGGTACTCTGGTACCAAGTAGACTTGTGAGCAACCTTATGTTCGAACATGGTGTTCGAAAAAACAAAACACCGCTCGGGTTCAGATCGGGCAGACCGTTCCTCCCAATCACGCCCCTCCAGGTTTCACCGTCATTGCCCACGTGAGCATTGAAGTCCCCCAGGAGAACGATGGAGACCCCAGGCGGCGCCCCTTCCAGGACACCACCCAGTGACTCCAAGAAGGCCGAATACTCCGAACTTCTGTTCGGTGCATAAGCACAAACAACAGTCAGAGTTTTCCCCTCTGCAACACGCAGTCACAGAGAGGCGACCCTCTCGCTCTGCGGGGAGAGCTCCAACAGGGCAGCGCTCAGCCGGGGGCTTGTGAGTGTCCCCACACCCGCCCGGCGCCTCTCACCGTGAGCAACTCCGGAAAAGGAGAGTCTCCAACCCCTCTCCAGGAGTATGGTTCCGGAGCCCTTGCTGTGCGTGGAGGTGAGCCCGACTATATCTAGCCGGTAGCGCTCCACCTCCCGCACCAGCTCAGGCTCCTTCCCCACCATTGAGGTGACATTCCATGTCCCCAGAACTGACCGAGCCCCACGGGGCCCCAAGGCTCGGCCACCAGACGCTCTCCGGCGAGCTCCCCCCCCAGGCCTGGCTCCAGGGGGGTGCCCCGGTTTCCCTATTCCGGGCGAGGTGGCGGCAGTCCTTTTTCTGATCTTCATTAGGGTCCTCTGAATTGCTCTTTGTCTGGTCCCTCCCTCAGAACCAATTTGCCTTGGGAGACCCTACCAGGGGCTAATGCCCCGGACAACATAGCTCCCAGGATCACAGGGGCACTCAAACCCCTCCACCGTGGTAAGGTGGCGATTCATCGGGGGGTGCATCCCCACTGTGTGAGGGAAATGGTGTTGACTGGTGACAGGAATAAGAATTTCCTGTGGGGCACCCCTATAGCTCACCTCGTTGAGTGAACAGGGCTAGAGTTCCCTGATGCAGCGGTCGTGGGTTCGAGTCCTGCAATAGCTTTCTCCCCATTCTTCTCCCCCCTTTCCTGTCTATCTCTACTGCTCGAAATGAAGGAAAAAGTCCAAAAAATATATTAAGAAAAAAAAAAAAAGAATGTTTCTGTGTCTCCTCCAGGTGTGGTGGTGGCTCAGCTGTCCGCCACGGATGCCGACTCTGGCGCTAACGGCTGGCTGATGTATCGGTTGGTAAGTGGCGCTCAGGACCGCTTCGTGGTCGACCCGCTCTCTGGTGCCATCTTGGTTGGAAACACCACGCTGGACAGAGAACAGCAAGGGTCCTACCACCTCGTCGTCATGGCAACTGATCGCGGCACACCCCCTCTGTCGGGCACGGCCACCCTGAAAGTGATCCTGGAAGATGTCAATGACTCGAGGCCGCGCTTTAAAGAACGTATAACTGTGATAAGCGTCAATGAGTCCACTCCACCTGGCGTGGTGGTAGCAACGCTGACCGCTGAGGACCCTGACCTGCATCCCCGGCTGGAGTATTTCATCATCTCAGTGGAGGCAAAGGATGATGGGAACAACCCCGTAGATGGTCTGCAGGAGTCCTTTGGCATTGATTTACACACTGGTGAGACATGGGCTTTTGAACGCGTTTTATGTTCTGATCTAAAAAGCTTTACTTTGAGAAATGATGTTGCATGGCCCAAAGTACAGAAAATAGATACATGTGTTTCGATGAATTTTCAGGTGCTGTATTTGTACGCAACCCACTCAACAGAGAGCTTGTAGCTACGTTTGAGATTATTGTGTCTGTCCATGACAAGGCCAGTGATGTTATTGACAGATCAGAGAGTGTTCCCAATGGTAAGTCCATTTTCTCTCTGACTTTCAGTTTCATACATTCAGTTTTTCGAAGCTATTTTCACTTTGTGTCTCTCGTGACCATTTTCTCCTCTATAGCAAGACTGACCATAAACGTGTTGGATGTAAATGACAATGCCCCTCGTTTTCGACCCCTTGGACGGTCCAACTTCACAGAGAAGATTTTAGAAGGGGCTGAGCCAGGCACAACGTTGCTGTCAGTTACAGCTATAGACCCAGATAAAGGTCCCAATGGGCAGATCATCTACCAGCTGCTCCACCTGCCTCGAGGGGGATATGTTAGACTGGACGATCCCTCCACTGGTATGACTACCAATAAGCTGCTGTAGGCTGCTTGTTATGACAAAACTACACTTACAACTCAAACTACACCATATATGTCATCGTTTATATCATTCCTTGTAATACAAAGTTGGAATATTAGTGTTGTCCAGATGAATCTTAATGATAATAGTCTCATTATTATACAAATTTTTCAGGTAAGATTGTGGCCAACAAGACGGTGGACTTTGAGCAGGTGCAGTGGCTGAATTTCACAGTTCAGGCCCGTGATCACGGTACTCCTCCCAGGATAGCTGAACTGCCAGTTTATCTGCGCATAGTGGACATCAATGACAACAACCCTGTTTTTCTGCAACCCGCCTATCAGGTACTAAACAGCACTTTAAGAAACATATAACAGCTGCTGAAGCAGACTGCTAGTGGTTTAAAGAATGTCTATATTTTAAGGTGATCACTACACTCTCAAAGGTAATACCTGTGCTTACTTAAATCACATTAGTGTACTTTACTTATTTCTCATTGTCTTGTTCATTTAACTCATGGACTATGAGTATGTACTCATTTTTCCTTAAATATTTCCAAAACTAAGTATACTTGAGTAAACTGGACTTGAAACATTGACTGAACACAGAGCTCAGCAGTGTACATGTACATGTACATGTGCAGTAGAGAAGTGCAGGAGAAGTTTCCAGAAACTTTACGGGGCGGCTGTGGCTCAGGTGGTAGAGCGGGTCGGTCAATTGGAAGGTTGGTGGTTCGAGTCTGCCCTGTAGCCTGTGTCATGGTCGTTGTGTCCTTTGGCAAGACACTTCACTTGAGGTGGTGGTCGAAGGGCAGAATGGCAGCCAGGCCTCTGTCAGTCTGCTCCAGGGCAGCTGTGGCTACAATGGTAGCTCACCGGAATGAATGTGTGTGAATAAATAGTTGACGGTGTAAAGCGTCTTTGAGTGTCTAGAAAAGCGCTATTTAAATCTGATCAATTATTATTATTTAAATTTCTAACCCCTGGAAAGATCAAGTTCATTATACTTGCTGTTTCTAAGTCCACAAAATTAAGTAAATACAGCTCAATTTTAAGTAAACTTTAGAAGTAGATATAAAGTAAACTGAATTTAAAACGAGCTGCAAGGTGGCGCAGTTAGTAGCACTGTTGCCTTGCAGCAAGAAGGTTGCTGGTTCGCGTCCCGGTGGCGGCACCAGGATCTTTCTGCGTGGAGTTTGTATGTTCTCTCCAGGTTCTCCGGCTTCCTCCCACACAGTCCAAAAAAATGTTGAGGTTAATTGGTGATTCTAAATTGTCCGTAGGTGTGAATATGAGTGTGCTCGGTTGTCTGTCTCTAAGTGTAGCCCTGTGATAGACAGGCAACCTGTCTTGTCCAGGGTGTCCCCTGCCTTCGCCCCTAAGTAGGCTGGGATAGGCTCTAGGACAATTCAGAGGCTCACAGGCTTTTTTTTTTTTTTTCGAATAGATGCTTGTTGTCATCAATAAATATTGAGGGAGACATATCCTCAGTATTCCCCCTGAAATCTCTGTTAATGCAAACATGGAGGACTGCTACGCTGGAGATTGTCAGTGGAGGAACAGTGAGGTGTATTTGGGGTGGCACTTCTGTAAACAGTGACTTCAGTGGCATCTATGTCTACCTCTGTAGGACAGCATGCTGCATGTGGGTGAGGGTGAGTTCAGGACCATGACCAGTAAGAACTAAAATCTGAAATTGGCCACATTTCAAATATAATATCAACAGCCAAGCAAAAAAAAAACCAAAACATATGAGCAATAAATCCAAATAAAGTACTGGCTTCGGCTTGTGTCTGCAGGAAAATTACAGGTGTAACTGATAACATCAACATAATTAGTTACGCTGGAGTTGACAAGGTTAGATGCAATGAAGTGCCACTGAATATGAGGCTGAAAATAATAAACTGGACTAAACGTACTAAAACAGGAAGTAATGCAATTATTTTCTTTGATGAGAAAGGCTGACATTTTTCTAGATTTTTATTTTTTTTTAGAGCACATGAAATTTAAGTTTCATATAACTAATAATCATGATGGCTTCCACTGTTGTATTAGATCTAAACATATGTTTATTCTTGCAATGTCCTTGAACAAAGCGTGTACTTTTCCTTGTTTGTAGGAGCCTGTGTTTGAGAATGTGAACTTGGGCACCACCATACTTCGTGTCAGCGCTACAGACGCAGATTCTGGACTCTTTGCAGTCATCGAGTACAGCTTGGTAGATGGGGAGGGAAAGTTTGGCATCAAACCATCCACTGTAAGTGAACACATATAACATAAATGCACTGCTCCCATTCTTTTCTTTGTCATTTTTTAAAATAAAATTAGAAATCACAACAATTTCACAGGTTAAGAATTGGTTTCACTCAGAGTATATTAAGTAATTTCAATGTAGTTAGTCAATTTAGAATTACAATGCTTAGGATTTCGCCAGAAAGGCTAAACCAACAACATATAGAACCTTTTCAACTGCAGTGTTTGCTGAAAATGCCAGAAATTTCCCCTTTAGTGAACTCACACAAAAAAACTTTTATTGACTGGTACGAAGTGTTCTGTTGGGTTTCTCTCCCAGCATCATCCTGCCTGGAAATGAGAGTCTAAACAGCATCCTAAAGACAATCTACATATTTGACCTCAATGCTCCATTTCTGTCATAAACAGACTCAAATAAATGGTCTGATACAACCACCACTCCCAGTCAGTACTTGTATTTCCTTCCTAACTGTTCCTTCTCCTCTGTGTCAGGGAGAGATCTACATCCTCTCCCCTCTGGACAGAGAAACAAAGGACCACTACACTTTAACTGCAGTTGCCCGTGACAACCCTGGAGGCAAACCCAACAACAGACGAGAGAATTCTGTCCAGGTAGAAACCATGGGCTGTGATGGCACAAGGGCCTTTTGTGAATAAGGGTTTAGATCTACAGAAAAGATTATCCTTAAAATCTACAGTGGTTGACTGATTTATGTGCAAATGAAAAACAACCCAATAATGATCAAACAGGCCATTTTAGCTCTCTTTGGGTCTATGAAACCTTTTTGTACTAAGTTTAAGTCAAGAACAATGAATATTTAAACATGGTGCAAAAATGCAGGTGACCATGAAACATAAAACTTAAGTCAGTACTCTCAATGGGCAAAATATGAAGCATAGCTATGACATTGGCAACAACAGCTTGGTCAAAAAAGTTGACTTTTTTGCACGTAATTTCCTTGTTATTTATTAACTGACAAAAACTGCTGTGCATATGAAGTATATAATGATGCTAATGTGTCACCTGAGCTCTACCATGTGTCCTGAATGTGTCCTTCTCTGGAATATAACCTCATGTCACATCAGGTGCTGGTGACAGTTCTGGATGTCAACGATTATCGACCCCGTTTTACAGAGCGAGTGTACAACACCAGTGTGTTTGAGAATGAGCCCAGTGGTACATCTGTGATAACAGTGAAGGCCACTGACCTGGATGAAGCAGAGAATGGTGCAGTGCTCTATAGCATGCTGGGACCCCACTCAGGTAAGACTTATGCTACTAATAGTAATCGTACTAATATAAGTCAACACAATAATTCATTGCGGCCCAATACAATTACATATTTCTACAAGTTCTCCAATAAAAATCTTCCTTGTAAATCTTTTTCGTTAATGTATAATGATGTAAAATGGTGCTCACACCTTGAAAGGCCACATATGGATCCAGTTATACTTCATCATGCATCTCTATACTAAATCCCTGATCTTTCTGTTCTGTTTCTCTTTGGGTTTTTTAGATGCATTCTCCCTGGATCCAAACTCAGGACTGGTGCGTTCTCGCCGTCTGCTTCAGTCTTCAGAACGCTTCAACCTCACTGTGGTGGCTACAGACCAGGGTCGCCCTCCCATGTGGGGCACAGCAGACCTGATCATTACAGTAATAGATGTCAATGACAACAGACCTGTGTTTGTCAGGCCTGCTAATGGAACTATCATCCATATCTCAGAGGTATCTGCATTCACTTTGCACTGTGGCATTATTGTTAGAGTGCATGTGCATCTCTCCTTTGTATAACTTTAGCTTTTTTTGATGTGCAGTGAGTACATACCTAAACTGTAATGGAATGCTTGCTATCTTTTACTTAGATTTACAATCAGTATCCCTGCAGGCAACTCACTGGAATATAGTTGTTCTGTGATACTAAGAAAATGAGTCAGTGGTTGACTGTGACTAGCTGACTGTAACGTATACCTGACTTAGTTAACATTTTAAAGACCCTGACATTGTATTTAATGTGAATCAGTCATGTCTGTCAAACATTCTTATCATTATCATAAGGCCAGTATAGGGACGGATACTGATACTGCATATCCCTGATTAGTAAGACTCCATGTCTATCTGCCAATAAATAGTCATGAAGTCCTCCAACTTATCACCACAAACCACAACAAAGAAACCACTGAAAAAATCTCTAATGTTTGGCTTTGACAGTTTGTTTTTTTTTAGTTTTTTTTTTTTGCTCAGTTCACACAAGCACTCACTGTCTGCTGTCCATGCAGGAGCAGCCTCCAGGCCTACCAGTGTATGAGGTACATGCAACAGACTCCGATGAGGGGGTGAACGGAGAGGTGCGCTACGCCTTCTTGCAGACAGGAGCAGGTAACAGAGACTGGGAGAACTTCCACATCGATGCTATGTCTGGAGTCATAACTACTACAGTGAAACTGGACCGAGAGAAACAGGCCCTCCATAGCGTGAGTCAGCTGTGTGTATGTGCAGTTCATGTAACTGACTGCGTAGGTACATATGTCTCTAACGGTGTGCAAATGACTCTCTCAGCTTATCATTGTGGCCCGTGACATGGGCCAGCCAGTGCCTTATGAGACCACACAGCCTCTGCAGGTGGCGCTGTTGGACATTGACGACAACGAACCCGTCTTCCTCAAACCACCGGTGAGTAAAAAGCTCTGTGAATATGCCCTAATATGGTTTCTGTGCATAAGAGCTGCTGTGCAACTGACTGTACGTGTGTGCACACCTCAGCGTGGCAGCTTGCCTTACCAGAAGCTGACAGTGCCTGAGCACTCCCGTCCAGGTACGGTGGTGGGGAACATCACCAGAGCTGTGGATGCCGATGAGGGCTCCAATGCCATCGTCTACTATTTTATTGCAGGTGATAATGGTGCCCTTCACACATGTTGCCTCATTTTTCTGTTCATAACTGAAATGTATTGCAAAGCTTTTCTCTGTCAATTGAATTATGAATGTTAATCCACCCAAAATAAGGCCGTGAATTCAAGAGGAGAGGATAAGTTTCTTTTAATTTATTGTGTATCCATTGTGTAGTCACATGAAAGCCCTTGCACTTCAAAAGCTTGGAAATAATGAAGACATTTGTATGGATCCATCGGTCTTTCTTTTCTATTTAAAGCTAATTTCTTCGTTGTTTTATGTGAAGAATGCAAATTCTCTTCATCTCTTCCTGAAGGGGGAAACAGCGATGGAAACTTTGGCTTAAGTCTAGACGGAGAGCTGAAGTTGTACAAGGATCTGGACAGGGAGGAGACTCCAGTCTACTCCATCATCGTCAAGGCTTCCAGCAACAGGAGCTGGACTCCACCCAAAGGTCAGAGGTCAGTGCGAGCCAAGGCCCTGGATCCTGCTCGTGACCCCAGCCTGCTGGAAGTACGGATTGAACTGGAGGACATCAATGACCAGACACCTCGCTTTGTTAAAGCTGAGTACACTGCAGGTAATGGTGCAGTCTCACATGTACACTACCGGTCAAAAGTTTTAGAACACCCTAATTTTTCCAGTTATTTATTGCAATTCAAGTTGTACAAGTCCAATGAATAGCTTGAAATGGTACAAAGGTAAGCACTGAACAGCCAGAGGTTTAAAAAAAAGGTTTGGTTACACAAAACCGAAAAATAATGTACATTTCAGAATTATACAAAAAGGCCTTTTCCAGGAAACACAAAGTCGGTTAACAATTCAAAGCTGTTCTGCAGCAGTGAAGGTTGAAACAGCCTTAAAAGCTGGTGCTACTAATTCCTACAGGTGTTCCAACTTTTCTTGATTACATACAACCCCCTCTGTCTCCATAAAAGCAGTGTTGGAATATACTGTAGTACCAGACCCTCATGAGCATCAGCTGAACAGTATTGTACTGCAGAAAGTAGTGTGTTGCTACAAAAATGGCGAGAAAAAGGCAATTAACAATGGAAGAGAGACAGACCATCATAACACTTAAAGATGGAGGTCTTTCCTACAGGGAAATTGCAAAGAAGTCAAGGTGTCATTGAGTACAGTTTTCTTCACCATCAAAAGGCACTCAGAAACTGGGGGAAACTCTGACAGGAAGCGGTCTGGCAGACCCAAAGCCACAACTGAATCAGAGAACAAGTTTCTGAGAGTTATCAGCTTGCGTGATTGGCGGCTCACAGGACAACAGCTTCAAGCACAGCTTAATAGTGGTCGTACTAAGGAAGTCTCAGTTTCAACTGTGAAGAGAAGACTTCGAGCTGCAGGTTTGACAGGACGAGTTGAAGCAACAAAGCCATTGCTAAGACGTCAGAATAAGACAAAGATGCTCTCCTGGGCCATGAAACACCGCCATTGGACTACTGAAGACTGGAAGAAGGTATTATGGACTGAGGACTCAAAATTTCAAATCTTCGCTTCATCACACAGGATCTTTGTACGTCATCAAATAGGCGAGAGGACAGTTCCACAGTGTGTGACATCAACTGTCAAACATGGAGGAGGGAGTGTGATGGTCTGGGGCTGTTTTGCTGGATCCAGGGTCCGTGACTTGTACAGAGTGAGAGGTACCCTGAACCAAAACGGCTACCACAGCATTCTGCAGCACCATGCAATACCCTTTGGTATGCGCCTAGTTGGTCAGAGGTTCATCCTACAGCAAGATAATGACCCAAAACACAAGTCCAAGCTATGCTAAAACTACCTCAGGAAAAAGAACAAGATGGTAAGCTTGAAAACATGGAGTGGTCAGCACAGTCTCCAGACTTAAAGTCCATTGAGCTGGTTTGGGATGAACTAGACAGAAGAGTGAAAACCAAGCAGTCTACAAGTGCCACACATTTATGGGAACTTCTACAACAGACTTGGGAAGAACTTTCTGAAGACTATTTGATTTCTGTTGTAGAAAGAACGCCACGAGTGTGTTCAGCTGTTATATCTGCCAAAGGTGGCTACTTTGATGAGTCAAAAGTTTGGAATAGATTTTGGTCCATAAATTGATTCCATGATTTATTTTTCAACTCAAATTCCTTATTTGTTCTATGCTTTCATTTCAGAATGCAATGACACAAGAAACTGAATAATTTTCAGTAAAAAATTGGAAAAAGTGTGGTGTTCTAAAACTTTTGACCGGTAGTGTATGTAAGACAGGTCTTCAGACTGAAAGCAAAATGGCTGCATTTGCAAGTGTGCGAGTTAAAATTTCATGTGGTCACATTGGTGCAAGTGCATGATGTTCATTAAACTGTATTAGTGTCACTGTAGCCGGCACAGGCTGCTACTGTGTTAACCACAGTGGCGGAGAGAAGTACTTTTATAACTTAGATGCACTGCTGTATTAACGCTTAGAAATGCAAACAGCGCATGTAGAAAAAAAATCACTCTGTTTCATCTCGGACAAATCTTACACTGGAACACTCATTTTTAACTATTTTCAATGTAGTTTTAGTTACACACCTGTCTGAGCACACTGCAGCCACCAAGCAGCATCTACAACAGCCTGCATTGTGAGGCATTTAGGGAACATTGGAAAATTGTAGGATCTATTGATAAGAAAATGTTCAACAAGTCATATGTTTTGCCTGTAACAAGGTGGGAGATGCAACCAAATGAGAAAGTTTGTCGCGTCAGTGAAAAAGTTGGTTTAGAGCCCTGTCAGAGTATGCTTATCTTTTTATCAGCCTAATCTTCATTTTCTTGCTTGTTTCAGGAGTCGCAGCAAATGCCAAAGTGGGTTCAGAACTTATCAAGGTGGTGGCAATAGATAATGACATTGGCAACAACAGCTTGGTGAAATACCACATTGTGACGATCCGCTACTTTCAGTCACAGAGCAATGGCAGTGAGGATGCTGGCAACATATTCAACATCGGTGAGTTTCCCTCAGTACGGTATTCAGGCAGTTTTGAAAGTGGTTGTTTAATTCAGCTTACTGCCCAGATCTACCAACATGAGGGTTTTTTTTTTTCTATCGCTTGCAAACAGGTCCTAATTTAAAACAAGATAAGGCAAAATCAAACTTATTTACAGAGACACACATAAGCTGGTTAAGTGAAATGAAACCAGTACACTCAGCAGTGGTCTGAGACAAACTGTAGTATCTTTGAATACAGAAAAAAAATCTGTTCATACTATAATTATACAAATATAAGCTGACACAATTTTGTGTTTATATTTTTTTTAAAACAAACAACACTGTGCTCTGTGACAGAGGAAGGAGTTTAGCAAACTTTGGACACACAGGTAATAATGGTTGTTAGGGTAGAGTAATTGTTGGCTTTGTGTTTCTTTGGATTTGCTGAAAAATGAAAAAATACAGTATACGGTGATGTTGAAATAACTTCACCAGAACTGACTTAACAAAGAGCAGCAGAATCCTTCTACGTGACTTAAATCACACATTTTGCAGAGACATGTATTTGCTTCATGGAACCAGTTCTCCCTTTTTTTTCTTGCATACTGTTCCATTTCTCCCAGACAGGGAAGGTTCCTTATACCGGTTCTATTTTCAGATCCTTTTCCACGAGGTTTCTGTTTGACTTAGATATGACAAGCAATGTAGCAAAATTATATAGCGTGACTCAATATACGGAATGCAACACTTTAAGTTGTAGTCTAATGGAATTTCAAGAGTTTCTTTTGGCGGAGTCACATAAACTTTTTATTTATAAGCAATATTCCCTAATGTGATTTCCACAGGGGAGAAAGATGGAATCATCCGCACCTACGACCTCTTCACAGCCTTCAATCCAGGCTACTTTCAGCTGGAGATTTTGGCGTGTGATTTAGCTGGACACACCACAACCACAAACGTGAACATCTATATTCTCCGGGACGACCAGCGGGTCAAGATAGTGTTTCATGAGATTCCTGATTTGGTTCGTGAAAATCAGGAAGATTTCACCAACCTGCTGTCCAACATCACTGGGGCTATTGTCAATTTAGACGACATACAGGTTAGGCTTCTTTATTGTTACGTTTTAATTCAACTTTTGTATTTTTTGTTTGTGTTGTATAAATGTCTGACATCTTTGTCTCACTCTCTGATTATTCAGTTCCATGTGGACAAGAAGGGCAGAGTGAACTACGCTCAGACTGACATGCTCATCCACGTTGTCAACAATCAGACCAACACAATCCTTGATGTTGAAAGGTCTCATATAGCTTCATTAAATTAAGTGTAGTTTCACTCCAAAGCTATGTGGTAACACTGTCACTCCTGTTGTCATAATAAACCCTGTCACAGCACATGGGCTGCTTTGTTGTGAATCCATATCCTGTTTTTTCCTGTTTTGCAGAGTAATCCAGATGATCGATGAGAACAAGGAGCAGCTGAGATCCTTGTTCAGGACGTACAATGTGGTGGACGTTCAGCCTGCTGTTGGTGACAAACTACCCGATGACATCTCCACCCTGCAGGTCTGCAAAGCTGAGACCCCCTGAAGACCACACACTCAATTGTTGGATGTTTTGTGTTGGTGCTTTAAGGTTTCCTTTCTTTTTCCCTTTCCCAGCTGGTCATCATCATCCTGGCTGTGCTGCTGTGCTTGGCAGGAATTTTGTTTGTCACAATGAACTGGCATTATCGCAGAGTGTAAGAATCATTCAGCAATTTTGTATTGATGTACAGTTATGTTGAGGACTGACTCATTTAAAGTCTGCACCACGTTTTAAGCTGTCAGTCTGAGCAGGAAATCAGCATGTTTGTGTTCTCTTGATGTGTGCATTTTAAAGTGCTCATGTGCTTTGATTGTAGACACCAGAGGAAGCTTAAGGCAATTGTTGCAGGATCAACAGGTAAGAAAAGAGCTTCATTGGTGGGACGGTCCCATCGGCTGTTCATCAGGATGTGGCTTTGCAATCTGCTAATGTAAAGTACAACATCTAGAGGCCAATGCAGGCTGTTTTTCTTATACAATTAATTATCTTCCACCATACAGGGAACCAGGGTCTGATGGATATTCTGGACATGCCCAACACTAACAAGTACTCTTTTGAGGGGTGAGACAACAACCTCAGTTTTACAGTCAGTGGCACACAATGTTTGAAAAATGTTCTATAGTATACAATATGTAGAGTATATGTTGTTGTCATGCAAGTGCAATTTGCTGAAGATGGAGGGGCAATCTTTCCTAATAATAATGAACAGATAGTTGTTTAATATATGCTAAAAAATAAATAAATTACTAGGCAACCAGTGGAGATGCCTCAAGGAATATTCCTAAAATGTAACTCTCCATAAAACTACAACACGTTGTTTGGATATTTTGTGTTTTTGTACATATTAACCACACCTCAGGTGAATCTTTACCATGTTGAGGTGAACACATGGTGTCTTTTATATGCTGACAGACACATCATGAGCAAAATAAGCAGTCAACTCTGTGACTGAAAATTTCCACCTTGAAACTACAGCGTACCGATAACAGTATTTAGACAACCAGCGTTTCATACACAAACCAAAGGAACCAACTTGCAGGGTGGAGCATTCTGCATCATTATTCTTCTTAAGACTTAGCATCCAGTATGAACATGTATATGCTGAATTACTCCAATATTACAACCAATTGCAAAGGGTGTAGAGTTACATCTAAGCCATTTTAAGGCAGGAAGGGATTATTTCCATGTGAAAAAAATGAAATATATAACTTTTATACTCAGTTTTTGGGGGATTTAATCAAAAACTGGAGAGAGACTTTAATTAGTGAGCTTTTAAAGGACTAGTTGGCAGATTTTTCTCTTACCTTTGGACAAAGCCAGGCAAGCTGTCACCCCCTGTCTTTATGCTAAGTTAAGGTAACTGCATGGCATCCCTAGCTTCACATTTAGCTTACAGAAAGAGGGTGGTACAAATCTTCTCATTAAGTCTCTCAAGAAAGCAAAAGTTTGAATAGTCGCAGTAACATTCCAAAAATGTCACTCAGCATAACGGTGGTGCTGTTCTACCTTAAGAGTCTGTAACACTAATAATAAAAGCATGAAACAACTTTGAAAGCAGGCCAATGACAAAATCCTGTTTTAAGTATTTTTGCAGCTCATGAAACTCCTTTGTGTCAGTGATACATGTAATGTCATGTGTGCAGGGCTAATCCAGTGTGGCTGGACCCTTTCTGTCGCAACCTGGAGCTGGCTGCTCAGGCTGACCACGAGGACGACCTGCCTGAGAACCTGAGTGAGATAACTGACCTGTGGAACAGCCCTGCACGCACTCATGTCAGTACTAGCATCCGTCTGAGTTCATTTCTATTTTTGCAGCAATGAGGAGTGTGATATGTTATATTTAGCTGTGAGTTTTAATGCTCAGAGGTAAAGTGTAAAGCTATCATGGATTTGCCCTCTGAATCAGCCCCATTAGACAGCAGCACCTTCACACTATTGATTTTAAGTGTGCATGTGTCCTACCAGGGCACATTTGGCCGAGAGCCTCAAGCGAAGCCTGAGGATGATCGTTACTTGAGAGCAGCCATTCAGGAGTACGACAACATCGCTAAACTGGGCCAGATCATGAGGGAGGGGCCCATCAAGGTGAGACCACTGTAGAATCACACACACACACATCACATGCAATCTCAAATGCCTCTTTTTGGTCTTTTTGGTTATGTGCTCTCTCCTGACATCCTGTCTGAAGTACATTGGGGGACAAGGTCAGAGGGCAGAGTTTAAGACCTCCTCCACTCTGTCCTGAGAAGCAAACAATGAGGGAATCCCCGCGGACTGGAAGATAGGCTGTTGAGACCCAGCTGCTTATTTGCAGATCTAGACATTCCTGCTGTGGATTCTCATTTATCACTACTCACCACTGTGACAGTGATGGTGTGTATGTTGGATAGTGTCACAGTCTCTGGTTGATCCTTACTGCCATCCTGTCAGGGTTCCCTGCTCAAGGTGGTCCTGGACGACTACCTGAGACTGAAAAAGCTCTTTGCAGCACGGCTCGTCACCGTATCCACCAGCCAGGGAGATCACTCATCGGTCACTGAGGTGGGCTCAGAAAAACAAATGATCTCTCTGCACCTGCTGCTGGTGTTCCTGTCTGCCTTCTCTGGAGAGTGATCTCGCATTCCTTTGATTTCCCTTTTTAAAACCCTGTCTGCTGTTCTGACGTGGCACCTCCTTACTGCTTCTGCTCTCACTGCTGACTTGAACCAGACTTTGACTCAAATAGAGTTATTTTGCAGCTGTTCAGTTCAGCTGACGATGGAGTTTTTTTGCACAAACATTGCCCTTTAGTTTAGACAATGGCTTGAAATGCAGCATTTAGATACTAATTTCTATACTTGTTTACTTGTCTGAATTGCTGAGATGTGGATGCTCCTACTCATATAGTCCTCCTTACAAACAAGTTAGCACTAAGAATTGTTTCTCTATTTAAACCAGGTCTGGTGTGAAATCTTTTATTTTCTTCTGATCTGTTGTCCCACTACATTTGAAAGTTGTTCTCTTTTGCTTAAGTGATTTCTTTCCTGAAACTTTTCCTTCCACTTGTTTGCTTCTTTCCAGTTATATCTTCCAAATCTTCTATATTGCTGTCATTGTATCAAAACATTATTAATCAGGAGCTTCATTTGTTCTCCCTCTTCTGTTTTCCTTCAACAGCTGATCCAGAGTGATGTGGATGACGATGAAGAGGAGCATCTCGGCATGGGCGGAGGTCGCGGCACTCTGCGCTTCAAGCACAAGCTTCCTGTGGAGTTGAAAGGGCCTGAAGGTGTGCACGTGGTCCATGGCAGCACCGGCACCCTCCTGACCTCTGACCTCAACAGCCTGCCAGAGGACGACCAGCGGGCCCTGGCTCGTTCTCTGGAGGCGCTGAATGCTGACGGGGGACTTTATTCTGAGCGCAATGCCCGCACAGAGTCAGCCAAGTCCACCCCGATGCACCGCCACAAGGACGGGGACACCCTGTCGGAGAGTCCCCTAGAGATCACAGAGTTATGACTAGCCGAGGCCTCGCTGGTCTGAGCACAACCATGACTCGTGTGTGTCCTTGTGCCTCCATGTCACCACCCTGACAAGGTTCGGAAGGACTGGAGGAGGCAGAGTGTGTGTAGTCTAGGGAACCTCAGTGCATCAGTGAGACATCCTGCAAGAGGACTTACTCAACATTGGGTTGGTTTGAGTGGATCTCATGTTAAAGATGGTCTCATGTTCGGTGCTTAAGGTGAAGGTTTACTCAAATGACCTTCCAGGGCGCTTGTCTTCAGTGAGAGAAAACTCAACCAGTGTCATTGACTTTCATCCAAAGAGCTGAGTGGAACAGAGGAACTAAGCCTCCCCTGTGGGAGAAGCTGGTTGAACCATGACCTTGAAATTGTCAAAAGGTGCCTCATTCTCCCTAATCCTTTTGAAGTCATACCTGGACTGCAGACACTCACACAAACACAAATACACACACTCCAAAAAATGAAGACACACTCAGACCAGCAGATGGCCATCAATGGGGCACTTAGAAAATGACACAATTCCTTATCATGCTGATATTTTTTTTCTTTTTTCAAGATGATGCAATCAGTGTTGAGTGAGTGTAGATGGAAAGACTTTTGTTTTTCAGCTATTAGATAGATTTTGTTGTTGGGAAATTATTGATGGACATTTAATGCAGACAAGGGAACATCTACTGTTATCTCAGTGATGCTCAAGGAGTGGAGTTTTCACCTGACATCAACAAGAAGAGGAGCTTTGCCATTCAAGTAGCTTGGTGACAGACCACTTTTTGAACAACGGAAAAAGAACACAACAGTCGTGTGTGCAGGGCAGCAGTGAAAATTCACAGCCTGATCCAGCTCTCCATCTTCAGCATGACTGTGTCAGTCATTAACCAGGAGAAGAGACTGGAGCCACTGACAAAAAAAAAAGCTCTTTTATGAAAAATTTGATATTAAAGGCAGTTAAAGAAAGCCTTGGTAAAGACATATAGATGGAAAAAATGAATTATCCAATTTTTATAGACATAAAGATGGCATTGTGCCCACAGAGACTTTACACTGCCACCTGAGGGAGTCAAAGTCATGCTCAAACTGAGCGATGTTTGCTTTATTTTTTTATTTTCTAGAAAATGTGATGGAATTAAAAAGATATTTTTGAAGAAAAATGCTGGCTTACCAAAATAGGTAATGAATACTTTTGGATGTTTGGAGTATGTGTATATTGTACTATGGTGACATATGTCGTTGTGTTTTCCTTTACAACTGACGCTGTTTCTGATGAGTGGTGTGTTTTTAAAAAAATGATTTTTATATTCCCATTTTGTAAGTTTTTCTTTGTCATTGTTGTCACCAGCCCTGAGATATGTGTTGGGAAATGTTGTGGGATGATCTGTGATAATAAAAGAAATATGCAACAGTGTCCGACCTCAGTCAGTGGGATGATGAGAGAGCTGCCACGTTGACGCTGATGCAGAAGAAGCTAAAGAGGGATGGAAAACTGAGAAATGTTAGTGACGCAAGACAGTTACCTCAAAGTCCACTTCTGTTGTGTCAGTGGTATAATTTGAACTGACAGAAGCTTCGCTGAAAATCCAAGAGAAATCAACATTTTAAGTCTATTGAAATCTGACTGAAAATATACTTCAACTCAGAATGTTTCACATCCATGCTAAATTTTTGATTCATAATGCATTTTTATTTTACTAACAGGCTTCTTCTGGCTGGAAATTACATAAACTAGTGACACAACTAGGACGATATTGGTAAAAGATGTTGATAGCAATACAAAATTCTTTGTTTAGTCTTTACTTTGCACAAGGCACGAACACCCACCAAGGGGAGCTCCCCTTTCAAAGGACAGACACACAAAAGCTCACCTGGACAAAGAAGAAAGTTTTTGGTCATCATTTCTATGGTCAGATGGGTTGAAAATTGAGTTGTCTGGGTACAAAGATGTGGCTTTTGTTTGGCAAAAGAAAGTACAGGCATTCAACCCCAACAACACCATCTCCAAAGGTGTTTTTTTTTTTCCCCCATCCAGTGGGTTGGTCAACCTTGTCAAAGTAAATGGCATTGTGACAACATTAAGACTCTGGAGGAAAACATCAGATAGTCTGCAGGAAAACTTGGGCCTTGGTCAGAGATGGACCTTCCAACATGACAATCTCAGACATAAAGCCAAAGTGGCCAAAAAAATACTGCTAGAAAAAAATATAAGTTGGGGCGACTCGCCAGAATCCCGACCTGAATTTCATTGAAAATCTACAGAGCCAGTCTGGTGACATCGATAAGAAATAAAAATAACTCGTTCCCACGCATTAGTAAATTGTGGCCACGAGTTATTAATGCAAGGAAACAACATAGTTAAGTTGTAAATGGTCTGCACTTATATAGCGCCTTTTTCTACCTTAGCAAGGCGCTTTACAATGTGTTTCACATTCAACCATTCACAAACACATTCACACATTAATGGCGACAGAGATGCCATGCAAGGCCATTGGGAGCAACTTGGGGTTCAGTGTCTTGCCCAAGGACACTTCGGCATGTGGGGGGGACCGGGGATCGAAACGCCAACCTTGCTATCAGTGGACAACCTGCTCTACCACCTGAGCCACAGCCCATCAAAATTGTGGCCTCGCATTACTAATATGAAGAAACAAGAGAAGTTGTGGAGCAAATTTCACAGTGCCATACCAGCTGTCGATTAAGGATAACGGGCGTACTTGCATGAAACATGGAGCATTTTGATTTGATTTCATTTTATTTTAACCTTGGAATGAACTACACCGATATCCTGCGATCTCTTGCGATGAAACACCGTGTGATAATTACATCGTTCCCACATATTAATATCTTGTGGCCACGAATTACTAATGTGTGGGAACGAGTTATTTTCTTTCTTATCGATGTCACCAGACGGAATCTGTAAAAATCTGTTATGAGTGACAGCAAAAACATTTTTTCAACCTCTAAGACCTGGAAATCATCACAAAAGCAATTGAACAAAATCTCAGTGGAGACATGAAAACAGCTTTTTAGCAACTGTTTGCTTGCTGAGATGGCAAATAAAGGATTTATCATTGAATACTGACAAACGGCAGAAACAATTTGTTAAAATACTTTTTTTTGTAAACATTTTTTTAAAATAAATTAAACTTTATTTCAAACATCGTGTCATACGTTCTACCTTTTGTCACTTCTATCACTCTATCATAAAGAAAAAAATCCCTGTAAATCAAAATTTGTCTTGGATAAGAATAATTTAGGGCTCATCTGCACTTTCATCTTAAAATTAGCTCATTATCGGAATGAGTGTGACAACTAGTAAATACTGTCATCTAGTGGTTGTTACGAGTGACCGCTTATCATGTAATGGAACAAAATAACTGAGTCATTACTTTGAGCGCACCACTCCATCCTTTAATTGTTATCAGGTTACATAGAAAAGTCATTATCAATAATAGCAGTCAAAAAAGCAGCAGAGGACTCTGTCCCTGAGGTCTTCTTCACTGCTGCTGATCAAACTCCTCGGCTGGCAGTGCCTCCTGATGTCGCAGTAGTACCACTGACGGGCATCTTCTTCAATGTCCTGTTCAACTGTAGGGAGACAGAAATATTTTCTTTATTTCAATACTGGTGTCAATTTCCAATTTCCTTCTGATGCCTGGGAAAAAAAAATCACAACTCTTAAATTCTGAACTTTCCGTTTTTTTCTTTTGCCAGAGGCCTGATGGCTCACTACTCACCTCCTCAAATTTGTGGATCTGTCTGATGAAGAAGTCTCCATATCGACGAGCAACTTTAGTGTCGGCAATGTGGATCATGTCCTGTGGAAATGTTACACAGAAACAGTCAGCGATATAACACACCAACATTATTTTCCCACCAACTGTTTCATATGCAGCAGGAGAATGATAAGTAGGCTTGTGGACATGTCAGTCAGTTAAATTGTGCTTTGAAACATTATCACAAGCCCAGTCATCCTCATGATTCATCCACCCTGTGACATACTTAATACACATAAACACAGTGTACGTTAATACAGAACGGCCAAAGAAAGCCTGTTCATTTAACCACTATTCACCTTGTCAATGTAAAAGTCAACCTCAGAGGCAGACTGGAACTCTCCGTCCAGTGCTGAGATGCCGCTGGTCCACACCAGGTTCTTCATCTTGTGTTTGAAGACGAGCAGCTGAATACGGAACTCCTGCTCGGTCATGTCCAGGAATCCTGCCAGCTTGGCTACTGGCATGGTGGTGTAGAGCTTCAAGAAGCTGAAAAATGCACACAAATACACACTGTGACTTAGATGACATGTATCGGAATTTACACACGGTCGATTGGTTTCTGGAAACTATTTAAACTGTGTCAAAAAGGTTTTAAAAAAGACTGGACTGCAGATTCATTTCTGACACCAAAGTTAAAAAACTACACCTAGAAGTACAATAGCGTCACATAGTGTCACGCTAAAAATTGATATGGTTTACCTTCGAATGGTGGAGAGCTGGGCCTGCTGCTGCACCTCCTCAGCAAAGACCTTCAGCTGCTGTTGGAAAGGTTCTTTGTGGTAGTTGGGGTGAACATTGTCATAGTTTGGCACCACAGGTGACAGAAACTTGGGACAGGCAAAGCTGAACAGCTCCTCAAACACCTGCAGATCTCTGAAATGGAAGAGGGAACATTTGGGAACATTAAGATGCTGTGGTGGTTGCTGGTGTTGCTGACAGTGAATTACTCGCATCCATCCAGATAAAATGCAGGATGGGCAGACGTACTGAAGTTCAATTCACAACAACTTAGAGCAGCTTTAGTCATCCCAGTGCAAAAAGAAGAATGTATTTTTTTGTAGATAATAGAACAATAACAGTCAAGTATCAGACAAAGACAGACCAATATGAAAGGTCTAATTGCTAATGAATAAATACAGATAAATAACAATAAAGCGAGAAAAACACTGACCCCACATTTGTTCCAACACAAGATAGCATTTTTTTTCTTACCCTTTTTGCATACGCAGCATCTTGTCTCCATACTTCTCCCTCAGCTGGGTGTGGATACTCTCATCAATGCGCATCGGGTACATGGTCAGAGCAATAGCCAGCAGGCCATGCATCTGCTCGTTTTGTTTGTTAATCTAAAACAATTAACAAGTATTATGACATCAATTCCGACCAGAATAGGTTTTAATAATTTCAAAGAATAGTATGAAAGTGCCTGATTTTTATTTTTCATGCATCACAGTATTTTGGAAACAACACAACCGGAAAACTTTCAGCAGCTTATATAACTATGTTCTGTGTGGGGAATAGAAGGAAGAATCCATAGCTAAAGCTAACAAGAAAAGTTGTCCAAAAAGCACCGCTCTGACTGACCATCTCATATTTATACGTCGACCTCTGGAACATGTTTCTTGTCCTCTGGATGTAGAGCAGGATGTTGGCGAAGACTCGAATTGCATCCTGGTAACGCCTCATCATTAGGTAGGCAAAACCCACATAGTAATAAGTGGTGATCTGGCACTCTGGCACGCGGGAGTACATGCTCTGAAAGACAGAAAACAAAATAGATACAAAGGACAAGACAAGAGAAAATACAAAAAAAAATGTCAAAAATATACATTGCATACTCTTTAGCATCATCACCAGCCTCTTACCTTCTTGTTGAGCTCAATGTTCTCCAGGACTTTGATGGCCTGGTAATAATCACCAAGCAGAGAGTGAAGCCTCAGCAGACCAACCAAGCTGAAGTAACCCAACATCTTGTACAGAGAGTGACGTCCATATTCTCCAGCCACGCTCTCTGGGTCTCCTGCAGTATGCCAACAGATAACATGTTAACAGTGCTGCATACTCCAAAACTGAATACTGTCTACATGCTGAGATTATTTGATACTCTCTTCACACTTCAAGCCTTCAAAAGGTTGTGCCGTGAGTAGTTTGATTATATATTTAATTGCCGCTGTTTGTCACCGGATGTAGTACTGACCGGACTTCAAATTAAGAGTGTCATCACCGGAAGTGATGCGTGTGATACTGATGGTGACTTGGCTGAGTGTAGAAACTGTTTGAGTTAATTATTGCACTGGTGACATGTTAAGTTAATTTATATATGTGTTTGTTTAAGTAAGTGTATATGTTATTTCTGTTTTAGGGAAGGACTTTTAGCAGAGGATTGTCCCCACACTCAACAGCACCCGACAGACACAGACACAGACACACACAGACACAGACACAGACACAGACACAGACACAGACACACAGACACACAGACACACAGACACACACACACACACACACACACACACACACACACACACACACACACACCACTCTGAACGGTTTCAAGCAGTGCTCTGGCCAGCACTCCTGGTGTGAACTTTAATTTAACCCTGAGCCAGCACCCTACTAGACAGATATCAGT